TCATCTTTCTCCCGCGGAGCGGCTGGTAGTTTCGAACCACAGACCTTAAGGTTCGCAGCCCGATTCGTAACCACTACGCTACCAGAGCTCCTTAGAGAGTGCAAAAACTACTCTGGAAGGTTCCTGAGTGTTAAGAGCAGTTTACACTCAGCTACTGAAGTTGGACTCCTGGTGTGGTGCTATAGACTCAGCATCGGACTGCAAACGACAAGGTCGGCAGATCAAATCCAACAACTGCTCCTTAGAAATCCCATACAGGGTTGCCACGAGTTGGAACTGTCTCGACGCCACTTAACATCAGTAAAACTAAGGTTGGCAGTTTGAATCCATCCTGTGGCACTGAGGAAACCAAGGCCTAGTGATCTGCTTCCGTAAAGATTACATCAAGAAAACCCTATTGAACAGATATGCACGGACTGTTTTATAAATGACAGAAAAGCTCATAGGATGACCAAAAATATGTAGAAAACATATCAATCTCTAAAATCTTATTGTAGCAGGGTAGGCCATCTTCTGTAGAAAACAAAGTATTTTCTTTGTAGAACTGAAATATCTAGGGCCTAAAGGCAGATTCAGGAGTCCTGGTATGGTGCTGTAGGATAAGCACTGGACTGCAAGGTCGGCAGTTCAAACTCACCAACTACTCCTTGGAAACCCTATACAAGGTTGCTATCAGTTGGAACCAACTCAATGGCACTTAACAACAAAAACAAAGGTAGATTCTAGACACCCAGAATTCTCCAGGATTAGTATTGTCCAAGAGAACTTCATGATATTCTGGCTGAAAGCAGAGAATACCAGAAAGATACTTACCTGTGCTTTACTGACTACACAAAAACTTTTGGCTGTGCAGATCATGACAGGCCATGAACAACACTGTGAAGAATGAACATTCTGGAACACTTAATTGTGCTCATGAGGAACTTGAACATAGACTAAGAGGCAGTTGTTCGAAAGAACAAGGGAACACTGAATGGTTTAAAATAGGAAAGGTGTGCACCAGGGTTGTATTGTTTCTCCATTGTTTATTCAACCTGTATGCTGAGCACATAATCTGAGAAGCTGGATAATATGAAAAGGAACATGGCATCAGAATTGGAAGTAGACTCATTAACAATCTGCAATATGCAGATGATACAACCTTGCTTGCTGAAAGTGAAGAGGACTTAAAATATTTACTGATGAAGATCAAAGACCACAACCTTCAGTATGGGTTGAACACAGAAGAAAACTAAAGTCCTCACCACTGGACCAATAAATACCATCTATATAAATGGAGAATTGATTGAAGCTGTCAAAGACTTCATTTTGCTTGGATCCATCATCACTCATGGAAGCAGCAGTCAAGAAATCAAATGATGTATTGCATTAGGCAAATCTGCTATATAAGACTTCATTAAAGTGTTGTAGAGCAAAAATGTGAGCTTGAAGACTAAGGTGTGCTTGACCCAAGTCATGGTATTTTTCAATAGCCTCATATGCATGTGAAAATTGGACAATGAATACAGAAGACCCTAGAAGAATTGATGGATTTGAGTTACGATGCTGTAGAAGAATTTTGAAAGATACCACGGATTGTCAGAAGAGCAAGCAAATCTGTGTTGAAACACAAGCAGAATGCTCCTTAGGAGCCAAGATGACTAGACTTTCTCTCTGACATATTATCAGGAGGGATCAGTCTTTGCAGAAGGAGATCATGCTTGGTAAAGTGGAGGGACAGCGACAAAGAGGGAGACCCTCAATGAGATGTATTGACACAGTGGCAGCAGTACTGGACTCAAGCGTAGCACAATTGTGAGGATGGCTGTACAACATCTTTCTGTTATATGAAGAGTCATTATGGGCCAGAAATGACTCAACAGCACCTAACAAGACCATAACAACAGAACTTTCTGAGATGCCGTGGATATTCTATATCTGTGCTTTACAAGTGGCTAGGGTGACTGAGGAACTCAGTTTAAAATTTTATTTTAGTTTAGTTAATTTACATTTCAGTAGCCACATGGGGTCCTGGTATAGTGCTGTAGGATAAACACTGGATTACTAACCACAAAGTCAGTGGTTCAAACTCCCCAGCCATTCCTTGGAAACCCTATACAGGGTCACTATGAGACAGAACTAACTTGATGGCAGTTGACAACAAGAAGTCACATGTGACTTGTGGTATTGGACATTGTAGGAGATAACACCATTTAGTGCCCTGGAGGATTCACTGTTATTTATACATATAAACCATGTTGTGCCTTGCCTAATTCTAATTCTCAAAATGGGAATAATTTTAGTTTATATAGAAATTATACTGATGTTACAGAGATAACAGAGTTGGTTAAATGCAAGTAATACCTTCAGTTTATTAAGAGGAAGGAGCTGCTGTCTGACCTAGTAAGCAGAGACTAAATTCACAATTAATTAAAGATTTCATGATCAGTCAGGCAGGACATGCCTCAAACCATCTTTTGTCCAGCTGGCCAAACAAGATACTTAGAATCACGTTTAACGCATCTTGCAACTACAATCAACATATGCAAAATATCCCATTAAACACAAATGTTCTTTCATTTGTCAGGTAGTTAATTCTGCTGCAGGAATAGGATTTTTCTCTATTCCATTAGCTATAATCATATTTCTGATAAATAAATATGACAGATTGTACTGCATACAAGTAAGTTCAAGTTATTTAAATTTTTATAGTTTAAAAAATAGTTCTCTACCTTATCTTTCTAGGAGCTCTGGTATCGTAGTGGTTACGAATCGGGCTGCGAACCACAAGCTCAGCAGTTCGAAAGAGAAAGATGAGGCTTTCTGCTCCCGTAAAGATTTACAACCTCGGAAACACTGTACAGGGTCACTATGAGTTGGAACCAACTCCACGGCACATAACATAACATAACATAACAACCTTATCTTTCAGGAGGTATTTTGTAATTTAATCACCGGCAACTTAACACCTAGTTCTCAACCTTTGCATTTTTTTCTGCCAATGTTATTTCTTTATTGTCAAGACAAAACTAAACTCCCAAACTAGTTGCTATTGAGTAGATTCAATTCAGGGCAGTCCCGGGTGTTTCAGGTAGAACTGTGCGTGCATCATGTGACTTTACATGGCTGTGTCTCCTGAGAAGTCTCTGGGTGGATCTGAACCGCCATCATTTCAGTTAGTAACTGAGCTCTTAATCACTTGCAACATCTTGGAACTCTATTTCTCCACTGTTATTATTTGTTGTTAAATGCCATCGTGTTGATTCGACTCGAAGCGACTCTATATAGAGTTTCCAAGGAGCAGCTGGTGGGTTTGAACCACTGACCTTGTAGTAAGTAGCCAAGTGTTTATCCTACAGTGCCACACCAGGATTCCCCATGTCTCTATTAGAAATGAGGAAATTGAGACTTAGAATAGTTGCATGTGGAATTCTAGTATATGATCTATGTGTTATCTAAAGCTCTTATTATACAACAATACTGCTCTTACTCCATATATAATGACAAATCCTAATTGTAATCATCTACATTTGCCCTAAAGGAGCCCTGGTGGCATAGTGGGTTATGCGTTGGGCTACAGAGTCAGCAGTTCGGATCCACTAGCCACTCTGGGGAGAAATTTGAGGCTTTCGGCTCCCTTATTTAAAGATTTCCAGCTTTAGAAACCCTATGCATAGTCGCTATGTGCCAGAATGTGTTCGTTGGCACGCTACCACCACCATCTTTTCCTAGGAGCAGAGATTGGGGAAGGCCATGGTCACTTTCAAGGGGCCATCTGGCTGATGGGTTCTGGTTTGTAGGGCACCCTAGGTCTGCATCCCTACTGCTCTTGGTTTCTTGGTGTGGAAGGGTAACGGGAGCAGCTTGAGATTAGAATCGCAAACAACACAGCGGTCTAGGCCGTTGGGTCCATAGACACGCTGTCCTATCACGTCCTTGTTCTCTGTTTGCTTCTGCTTACCGATTGCGTTTGCTGGAAATGAAGGATTAGGCTTTGGGGATGCTTGGTAGGCCAGGTTACTCATGTGCCACTAAGCTCAACTCTGAACCCCAATACCAACCGAGTGACCTTTTGCAGTTTGATGAGCCCTGTACTGAACCATGTCCCTGCCTGTCATAAACCTTTCTTTTGTGAATTCAAAACAACAATACCTCAAAATAAGAAACATAGTTTTTCGACTTGTTGTGATCTTCTTGATTCTACAAAAAGGAAAATGTGTTAAAGTGCAAGGACCTAGAGTGGTGGGCACGCTACCTTCTCTCAGCTCCTTGCAAACTTTGGGCCCAGTAAAGGGGGGGGTGGGGGCACAGGGTGGCGAACTACAAGTCCCAGAATGCTAGGCGCTCTATGCACAGGCGCAGCGTGGACCACCCGCCCGCGGGCCGGTAGCCTGCGGAGACTCGGGGTCCCAGCGCCGGGCTGGGCTGGGCGGACTGCCCGGGTAGACCGGGCCGGCGCCGCGGGCGTTACTATGAAGGCAGCACGACGTGCGTGAGGAGGATGCGGCAGGAGGCGCGGCCGCAGGAGGCGGAGTAGGCGGTGGTGCCCTCGGGAGGGGACGCACGCGGGCCAGACGGTTCCCGGAGGCTCCGCAGTGCCGCCGCCGTCGCCCGGGAGGCTCCGCACCGGAGCCATGTAAGCCTGCGGCGGGCTCCCGGCTGCTCCGTCCTTCCCCAGCTCCGGGCTAGCGCGCTAGCGGGGCCACGATGAAGAAGCAGTTCAATCGCATGCGCCAGCTGGCCAACCAGACGGTGGGCAGGTAGGTCACCCGCTGACCGCCCTGGCCGGTTCGTGCCTGCGAGGCTGCCTCTGCCGGGGCGCGCAGGTAATGGTGCCCGCCCGGCCGCCCGCTCTCCTCCCTCCTCCCTCCCAGCTGTGCAGCCTCTGTGCAACCCCCTTTCCTCCCCGGCAGCTGCTAGCAGCTGAGCCCCCTCCTCGGTGAACTTCGCAGATCCTGGAGCTCTTCTCAGTCGGCGCCTGCTGCCCGGGGGCTCAGGTTGCCAAGTGCAAAGTGTGACGCATCCTTTACCTGCGACCCAAGCTGCCCCTTCACCTCCTTCCTCCCTCCCTTTCCTTTCCCCGCGGATTCCCTTCTCTCCCTGGCCCTGTATCTGCCTAGAAACAGGTGTTTGCTTTGATTGTGTTGTAGAGAGTGGAGCCGTAGTCCATCTCAGAAGATCCCTCCCCTGCGTCGAGTTCAGGGCTCCCTGTGGTCCAGGGGAATTGTTGGGCCTGGTCGGTTTGACAGAGCTCAGCCTGCCTCTCCTGCCGTGTGTGTTTTCGGCGACTATGGCTATACGGGAGTGTGGATCACTTTCCTGGCTCCCTGTCTTAGGCTGTTGGTGGTGGAGAGAGGGAGGGGTGTAGGGAAGGTGCTTAGTGGAATGGCGCTGCCATAGGCTTGGTCCTAAGACTGATTTCAGTGGAGGGAGGGAGACTGCGGAAAGGGAGACCCAACTCCTCTGGAAGATAAGATTAACCAATGATAGTCATGGGGCGTCGGGGGTGGGGAGGAGACGGGGAAGAGGTCCCACCGTCTGGAAGACCCAGGTCCCAGGAAGCTGCAAGACCCTCCCTGCCGGCATCACTGAAAATGGACTATATCTGAGCTAGTATCTCTGGGAGCAGCCAGAATCTCTTGACGTTACATAATGGCTCTGGTGGGCTTCCTCCAACGATAGACCCTTTTTGGAGAGGGGATTATTAGGTGGAAGGGATTTTTCAAGGAATGCCTGCACCTGGAGAGAGGTATCCATTGCTAATGTGGCAAAGGAATTCAGGTGTGCGATTGCAAAGCAATCAGAAAGCAAAGAACCCAGCCTGGGGTGCCATTCAAGTGTGAGCTCTCCACATGTTCCAAGAAACCAAATACCTTTCTTGGGTGGGAAGTGGAGTTTGCACTGGCACCTGGGTAGGGAGGCGGAATAGGGGACATCTAAACTCTGATGGAAGCATACTGCCCTAGTTACAGTGGGCATTTGAGGCCAGGGGGTGTTATGGCTTCTGAGGCTTCCAGGGACTCCAGATGGTTTCCAAGTAAGAATGTCTAAAATTGACTTGGATTTGTTTTCCCTTTCCAAACACATGTGTTTTAACATGAGGGCGAATTTATGAATAGCGGAGTCAGATTAGCCCAGATTTCTGGCATGGCAATGCCACAAATAGATCTGCTCGTGGGCTGCCTTTTGATATGTTGGACATGGAAATAGTGTTTTCTTGGTACTGGTTGTTTAGAAGATGTCAATGAAGCTGACCAGTCTTTGATGTCTTGGTGTCAGTATCACCCTGCGATTGAAGACATCAGCCAGCATGTCTGATCAACTGTGTCAGGAAGCTTCTGACGGTAGACTTGGATTCCTTATCTCACTTGGCCCTGGGGTTTGAGTTTGATGCTAGAACCTGAATGTTTATTGTTGTTGTTAGCTGCTGTGAAGTTGGTCCTGACTCACGGTGACCCCATGCATTAACCGGACTGGTCTCTTGGGATTCATAGGGTTTTCCCAAGTAGATCACCAGACTTTTCTTCCTCGTTTGTCTTTGTCTGGAAGCTCTGTTGGGACCTCTTCTGCATCATAGCAACACAGGAGCCTCCACTGACAGTTGGGTAGACATGAAGTACCTCTTTTCAGGACTTGTTGAAAAGTGGTAAGCTTTGTGAAACTTGGACATACTGATCCAAGGAATAAATTAAAAAGGGAGAGAGGAAGTTAGGTGTCAGAAAAGCAGTCTTACTTACTGAGAGCACATTCTTGGGAGTCCAAGAAACTGGTCACCAGGAGTTGTTTGTTGAGACTCTGGTGGGTGTTGGTATCCAGATGAGTTCGGATACCACCTCTTTGTCACACCTCATTCATTCTGACCTGCACCAAGTAAAATGAGGACCAGCCTGCATCCATTTTGATGAAATCCAGTGTGACCTCTTCAAGAGAAAATTAGGTCATGCTACCCTGCTGCTTCAAAGCCTCCGGTGGTGGTGCTTCATTGCACGTAGTCGCCCAGATCCTTCCAATGGCAGACAAGACCATACCTGGTTGGGTCCCTCTTTGTCTCTCCATATCCATTCTCATCCATACTCTTTCTCATTTGCTGTGCTCCAGCCACAATGACCTTCCTTGCCCCAAACACACCTTGCTCATTTGCATCTAAAAACTTTTGTTCTTTTCTTTCCCTGCTTGTCTGAGGATGTGTTCTTCCCATATGACTCTTCCTCATCATTCAAGTCTTAGCTCAAATGTCCCTTTCTCCAAGAGGCCCTCCCCAGCTGTTGTCTAGCCCACTATACTGTTTGCTCTTTTTCACAGTATCATGAATGTAATTGTTTTCTTTGTCTGCCCCCAATGGAATGTATTGGTCACTGTTTTATGCCCGGTGTATGTCAATGTCTTATAAACAGTTGATCCCCCATTAATGTTTATTGACAAGATTAAAACCACTTACTCTTGGGTCTACAAGAGTAAATTAAAGGAGCAGCTTTAACTTTATCTCACTAAGCGTGTAGTGAGTCATGGTTCTATGTCTAATTGAATCAATAGAAGCATGTCCTAGGGTAAGTCAAAAGTATTGCTACAAAAATCATAGAAACTTTATTATTAAACAAAAATATCAACATGTGAAACTATTGGTTCTCAACATATCCTCCATCTAGGTATATACTTCTGAAGGTGGTATTTCCATTTCTTTAACCCTTCCCTGAAGAATTCTGGGCTCTTTGATTTATACCACATCAAAGCAGCAATTTTAGCCTTCTCAAGGGACTCAAATCATGTTCCTTTTCAACGTTTTTTTTTTTTTTTTAATTTGAGAAGCAAAAAAGAAGTCTGAAGGGACAAGCTAGATCAGGGCTGGAGGGTGGATGGGGTAAGATTTCCCAACTAAATTCTCATACAACAGCCTTTGCTACCTTTGTATAATGAGCAGTTGTATTGTCAGGATGGAATAAAAGGCCTGGACTTTTTCTCACCAATATGGTTTTCCAGTTTCTTCAAACCTCTTTCTAATAAGCTCCAATGATTGGCCTATGTCCTTTGAGAAAATCCATCATGATTACCCATTTGGAATTCCTCCAAAACAATTGCCATAACCTTCAGAGTAGACCTTTCTGCCTTGAACTTAACTGGCCTGGCAGATCCCCTCCTAAGCCACGGTTTTGATTGGAAGAAGGCACCTAAGGAGACTCAGAGAAGTGTCTTACTGAGAGAGCTTGTCTGCAGCCACCTCCTCACTGCTGAGACATGTTGAAACCCAGTTTGTTTGGAATCAACCTATGTATGTATGCACCCTAGTGGCAATACTTTCTGACTTATCTTTGTAAGACTGGAAGTTTGGAATTTAGATGGGGAATTGATAGAGTGCTCTATAGAATTGCTGTATCAAACCACTTTTTATCCTTGCAGAATTTTGGAATGGTGACTTCTCTCTCTTTGAGGGGAGATGAGAGATGGGCTCGAGAGTTGCTTTTTGGGCCAACTCCAGGCTTCTTAACCTGACTTGCCTTTCATACATCGCAGGTTCTGGAGTTCTTTTGAATATAACACTGTTAGGAATGGGACCAAGTCCATTTAGCAATGCAGGAGTTGCCATACGAAAACGAACTTTATTGAGTTCCTAGCATTTCCCTGTAAGGGCTTACATCTAAGGAGTAGACAGGGTATCAGATACTGAGAAATTGGGCTGGTAAGTGTTTGAGCTAATCAATCTGCCTACTTATCCAGTATGCCTACAAATTCCTTCTGCTTTGAACTTTCTACTTTGTCTTCACTTTGTCTTTTGAAAAGGATTCCCTGACCTATCATGACTGGGGCATCTGCACCTAATGGACAGAGCGCAGGCCTTGAAGCTGGATAGCTGACGCTTGTTGCTGACTTGGACTATGAAATCTTGAGCACATGAATTTCCTCATGTTGAAAATGGGAATCGTAGGGATTGCACATTAGTTATAAGTGTTATTGTTGTAGTTGTTAAGTGCCATTGAGTTGATTCTAACTCCTCATGACTCTGTATAGGAGCGAATGGTAGGTTTCAATTGCCGACCTTGCGGTTAGCAGTCTAATGCTTTTCCTATAGTTCATTCATTCATTCATTCATTCATTCATTCAGTGAGTGTTTATTGAAGGCCTATAAAGGCCAACCATTCTTCTGGTTCATGGTTTATCGCATTGCAAAGCAAAATTCCTGTCCTTGTGGAGTTTTCAAGGTATTCCATGATTATGTTGAATTGTCATACTCCCTTTTCTGGTTTTTCTGCTCCACAAGACTTTTAAGTTGCTTGTGGGCATGGACTACTTCCCCAGTGCTTGGCATGTAGTAGGTTCTCTGAAATCCTTTGGCAGCTGAATGAACAAATGAACAAAAAGATTCTCTGTATTGCAGATAGGGCAGATGCACGAGTAGTTCAAAGACGGGAGACACTCTGGATGTCGTGCCTCCTTAATTTTGAGGACAGGAATGACTGTGCAGAGGGTGAGGCACAGCTTCAGTGCTGGGCTCCGTGAGGGTAGAGCAATGCTTAGGTGCGATTTAGTTCAGCCCTGGGTTATGACATCTAGGATAAGCACTGCACTGCTAACTGAAAGGACAGCAGTTCAAACCCACTAGTCACTCTCAGAAACCCTGTGATGGGTCGCTATGTGTCAGAACCGGGTGGCCCGTATACAACAACAACAACAAAACTCTTTAGAGGTTGCCATGGTGACAAACACCCTGAGGGGCAGAGTTCATTTTTGGACCTGACATTTGTCTTGGTGGACAAACCCTGAACTG